TATTTGTGGGGTACAGTGTGCAGTTTCAGTACATGTATATTGCGTAATAAGTCACTAAGGGTAGATGGCAGAGTTTTGTACCTGTTAGTCCACCACTTCTCCCCGCAACACCCTCTGGTAACCATTATTCTCCTCTACTTCTATGAGAACCACGTTTTTTTGTCTGTTGGTTTGGTTTTTAGATTCCACACGTGAGTGAGATCATGTGGTGTTTGTCTTTCTGTGTCTGGCTGACTTCACTTAATGTGGTAGTTTCCTTTTCCATCCATGTTGCTGCAAATGATAGGATATCATTTCTTTTTAAGCTGAATATTCCATTGTGTACATATACCACAGTTTTTGTTTGTTTGTTTTTTGTTTTTTGTCCTTTCATCCATTGATGGGCATTTAGGTTGATTCCATCTCTTGGCTATTGTGTGTGGCATTATAACACCAAGGCCAAGGGTTTGGATCCTTACACTGGCCAGCTGTCCAAAAAGAAAGAAAGAAAGATAGTCAAAAATTTATTTTTTAATTGATATATTATAATATATATATATTGTAATTGTACATATTTATGAGGTACAGTTTGACGTTTTGATGCATATATGAGGGTCATTCAAAAACTTCATGGAAAGATTTGTATTATCTTTCAATTCTATTTTTCCATGATCTTTTTGAAGTACCCTCATATATGTTGTACAATGATCAAATCAGGGTATTTAACATATTCATCACCTCATGCATTTATCATTTCTTTATGGTGAGAACATTCAAAAGCCCCTCTTCTAGCTATTTTGCAATACACAGTACCTTACTATTAACTATAGTCACCCCACTGTGCAATAGAACACCAGTACTTCTTCCTCCTACCTAATTGCGACTTTGTACCTACTGACCAGTCCTTCCCCATCCTTCCCTACCTCCTTCCCTCGCCAGTCTCTGAAAACCACTGTGCTACTCTTTTCAGAAGTATTTTAAATAAAAAAAGTATAACTTCACCATTGTTCCAAACCAGGTAGTGATGCAAAAGGAAAAGTCCTTCTTCCATGGACAGTTACCCAGTACACGATAAAAAGTAGTGTTTAATGCTCGTGTTCAGCTGTGGAGTATACTAACGTTTATAAAGCAAATGTATTTCACAGGGCTTAGCCTCCAAAGCCCTGTAGTTTCAGGTTTAGCCTAACTTTTAAAATTACATGTAGAAATTTTAAGCTTGCAAAAGACAGGAAACTTGTCCCAGGCCAAAGTCTCTGTCATAGATAAAGAATTGTAACATAGCAAAGTTGTTGGCTCAAGGACAGATGCGCTTGGAGCAGGTTAACCTAAAGTTACTTGATTGTTATGTAAAAATACTAAGGAAATTGCTGTAGGAAAAGACAGTATTTGCTAAGAACAAGCTTTTGTTGGTGGATCCACTTAACCCTTTGCAAACTGCATTATGGAATGTCACTTTGTTATTTCACTGATGTTACCAGCCTCTATTGTTAAACTATACTTAGCTACAACTCCACCTGTGTTCCTTTTCTGTAACTTTCTGGACTGGAGAATAAATACTGAGAAAGAACCCCAGTTCAGGGTTATTTTTCCAAGGAGGAATGCCTCTCTCTTGAGGGTTCCTGGAAAATCAACTCCTTCAGGGCTTCTCACTGCTCAGAAGAAATAGCTTTGAGTAATCCTTTTTGCGTCTCTGTCACCCAGGGGGAGAGAGGTGACATTCAGCCAGCAAGCAGGAGGTGCCACAGATCTGTGTGTGTGCCTCGCTCTGCTTCCTCACACAGTGCCTCTTGGCAACTCAGCCTTACTTGGGCTGAAGAAGAATATCAAAACATGATGTAAAACACAAGTTTTATGACAGCTTAGAATGTCTGTGGAGCTGGATGAGGAAACAGAAGATAACGAGCAGCTGCCACTTGGGCACTGGCAGCAGTGCACTGGCTGCATTAGGCTTTGTGAGTGTGGCATGAAGCATCAGGTGCTGTGGGAGGTTCTACCCCGTGTAGAGCACTGAGAGCCAGTGGCCTGCCCTGTGCTCCTCAAAGTGCTCTCACTTCCTGGAGTTCACACCCTCCACTAAACAGCTCATGCCCATTCTCAAGGAACATTCTTGGTGTCTCACGTGGTTGTCTTAAAATTTTCTCTCCAGAATTTTTTTTTTTTTTCAGGAGTTTGGTAAACAGGTATTTTTGCTTCCATATCAGCAGCTGCTTAATTCGTAGTTATCCTTACATATAATTCCCATGTACCTATTTTTCTTTCTTTCTCCCTCTCATCTTTCACATCCTTTCTATTTTGCCAAGGGCTTTGCTTCATCCAAGTCTTTTTATCTTCTCCTTTTTATGTACCTATGATCAGTGTCCAGGTTTGCAAGAAGTTTCTGTGTTACTTTATGAGTAATTTTTTTTCCTTAGAAAATCCCAATTTTTTAGGCTGTACCCTCAATTTGTAATCTGGAAATCGGACTGCAATTGAAATTGAATTCTCCTTGAATCCCTGACCAGCTTTCAAGGAAAGACTTTGTTATCTGCCCTCCTTAGGAAAGTACACATTGAAAGGCCACAGATCTATCTCCTCTCTCTAGAGGCCAAGGGGAACTTGGACGGGGGTGGCCAGGAGGCCAGGAGACCTCAAGCATAAGACTTGCAGTGTGGCACTGCTCCGCTGATGGCAGTGATGTATTGTATTGCAAGTGGCTCCCGAAGCTCCTCCTGGCATGGCCTTGTGGTGTCATCACCCTCACTGATGACAGCTGTCAGCAACTTGCCTTATTGAAGCTTTTCATCTTTCCTCCCACTGGCAGCAATTTCCAGGGTCCTTGGTACATCTCCAGTACATCTTCCTGCAAAAATGTATTACAGTAGACGAGTACAGACATTGGGGTCAGACCAGGCTGGTTTCGAATCCCCAGCTACCACTTTGTAGCTATGGTATTTGGGGCTTGTTTCCTAATCTCTTTGAGTTTCAGTTTTCTCATCTGTGAGAATGGGACAATAACATCTATCTTATAGATTTGTTGTAAATATTAAATGAAATATGTAGAATGACTAATACAGTGGCTGGCAGATAGTAGGTGTTAAATAAAAGTACTATTATTATTCCAAGAATGCATTGGTAGCTGAGCAGCTTGGTGTTAGTTAGCAGCACTTTCTATTAAAAAAGAAAAAAGAAAAAAGCATGTGCTCTTAAAAGGTTCTTTTAAGCAGTTTATTTGAAACTCCCTAAAGTCAGGCACCATTCAGCCTCACATGCTCCATATCCACACGCTTAGCTCCCTATTGCTATGCCTCAGTGAAGGCCACTAGTTTCTGTAGCTGCCTTGGCAACAGCCAACTCTCATTTGCCCTGAAGTCTTGTTTTCAGGACCTACTTTTAGAGCTCAGTACAACCTTCAAGTTCTGCCTGAACTTATAAGGTACTCAGCAAAAATCTCACAAGTGCCTAATATTTTTCTGTTGACATATTAGCAGTGCCCTGTCCCCCTGAAGTACTGAGGCACCCAGATAAGTCAAATCTCACTGAAAGCTCAAATTAGATATGGAAACTAACTTGTAATAGAAATTCTGGGTTACAGTTTTGTGCAATCATTGTTTATCATGCAACCATGCTTGAACAATAACTGTCATTTTCAAGAAAAGTGGAAAAGTTTCTGCCTTCAGGGCTCGTGACCTGGTAAGACAAGACAAGTGTGAACAAAACCATGTGCAATGTCATTTCCATGAATGTGATATTAAAAATGTACACATGGGTTAGGAATGGCGTAACTCACTAACAAAAAAGAAAACGATTTAAAAACTTGAATTCCTTGGCTCTACCCACTACATACACTTTCCCACTTTGGCTGCTTAGATTTCCCTGTAGAAAAGAGAAAAGCTGCACAGAAAATGGAACATGGAAAGCCCTGGGAGAAAATAGCTAAAAACACTTCATCTGAATAAGCATGTTGCTTGTACAGAGCAAGCAAGGGTTTCAAACTGCAGTGGCTGCATTTGAGTAGTTAGGGTAAAAAGCAGAAGTGTTGATAAGCTCTAAGGCAGCTGAATGCCTTGGGATTTAGGAGCAGACCAGGGCTTCTTCAGCAGTTGATTGAAAAATTCAAAGACCCCTATAACTGATGGCCACACCTATAGCCCCGCTAGGCTTAGTATAGAGCTCCCATCTGGTCTAGCTATAGGATCTCTGGGATGTCAGCATATTCTTAGCTCATTCTGAGCTGGTTGCCAGGTTCCTGGACTGAAGTGGGCAAGTGTTATGAAGGGAGCTTACAGAGGGGACAGCGGAACGAGCATGTTCACGAGGATCTTGCTTTCAATGCTATGACCAACTCCACTGCCCATTCTATTTTTATTGGTTTCTAGTTTCCCTCTCCTAATTTGAGCAGTGTCATCGGTGCACATCACTAACAATGATTTTTTTCCCCTTTCTCAATTTCTAGTAATAATATTGTGATTTGAATTTGATCTTAATTACTAATATAAAAGTATCTATCATTGAGCCCTACTTTGAGACCCACACTATTATGCTCAGCCCCATGTACATGTAAAGATGAATGAGGCACTACCACCTGCCGTAGGAATGGGTAAATATAACGTTTTGAGGTGGAAGAGAGGGAGACAGAGAGCTTGTGCCAGTAGCCTTGACTTCCTTTTTCTATGTGGAGAGAAAAAAGAAAGGGAGGAGGAACAAGGGCAAGGTAGGGCCTGGCAGGGAGCAATCGAGTTTTGAAACAGCTGCTCTGCAGAGTGGATAAGGACGAAAGTGAGTGAAAAACAAAACGAGCAGATAAGTAAAGTTCTGTGATTCTTGGAGTCAGTGGTTATCTCATCTTTGTTGTTGCCATTGTCATCATCACCACCACCACTGTCAACATCTGCAGGACACATTATACTTGAACCACATACCGTTTATATAATCGAAGGCAGTCCATTGAAAAACCACTGATCCTTCACGCAAGTCTTGTGCTCATTGTACCATGTGGTGGGTGTTGTATTTGTCTCATCCCCCTCTCATTTGTGTTCGTGTAGGTTGAGCCAGTGATACAGAGAGGCCACGAGAGTCTGGTCCACCACATCCTGCTCTATCAGTGCAGCAGCAGCTTCAACGACAGCGTCGTGGACTCTGGCCATGAGTGCTACCATCCCAACATGCCCGACGCCTTCCTCACCTGCGAGACTGTGGTTTTCGCCTGGGCCATTGGTGGAGAGGTGGGGCTAATGATTCCCGAGATGTGACACAATTAATCGATCATGTTTTCCCCCTGTAAATATGATTCTAATGCTTACAAGTCAAGCTCTGCACACTATCTTTGATATGAGAGTGGCGCATTTCCATTTTCTTAGGAAGAGATTCTGTCCTTAAGTCGTTTTATTTTATCAATTATAGATTAGTGGAATTCCAGAAGGTTGAAATGTCTTTAAGAATGGTTGGTGTTTGAGTGGAGTAGAGTAGAGCACTCCAGAACTTTCACAGGACACGGTCTAATTTTCCATATTTAGGGATTTTCCTATCCAGCTCACGTTGGATTATCCCTCGGCACTCCGTTAGATCCGCTGTATGTGCTCCTGGAAGTCCATTATGACAATCCGACATATGAGGAAGGTGAGTTTATTCTTTATACAGTTAATCTAAGATTTTTAAAAAGTTTTGTTAACTCTTCTCTTTAACAGAGTTGGAACGAAATAGCAGCCAAAGTTAAAAAGAATTAAACTATTCATTTACAGTCCAAATTAGGATATTTTTTAGAGTGAAAGAGGACACTATTCATAATTACACTGGAACAACAGGCGTTAACCAGCACCAAACCACAAAAATGAGCACATGTGGTCACTAATCTTAAAAAAAACATTTGCATGATATTTACCAGGAGGTAAGTAATAGATTTTTTTCTTTTGTGATATAAATTAGGCCCAGATACATGGTGCTTATCGAACATTTTCTTTCTAACTGTACATATGAAAAAGCAACCATTCATCACCCTAAAAAATATTAAGCATTTTGTTGTATGAAAGGCAAGCCATAAATACATTCAAGAAGTATTTATTCAGTGACATTGTGCAGTATGATATCAAAGTAGAGGTGTAAAGATGTACATTTGATTTCTTAGTTCTCTTATGTAATATTTCAAAACCAAAAAATTTATAGATTCAATATAAAATTATCAAAAGAATCAACTCCAAGTGATTCTTTTACATTGATTCACACAATTACTCAGCAAATACTGAACACAAACTATGTGCCGGGTCTGTATTTGAGGATATAATGTGAGTGAAAAACAGACACTGTCTCATCCTCATGGAAATTGTAGTCCAATGAGAAAGAGAAATATCAGTTGATCCAAAGGAGAAGTACCTGACACTATGAGAATATTTAATTTGTGATCTAATCTAGCCAGGCGTGTGTGGTGGGGAGATGTTTCAGGAAGTCTTCCTCGATGAAGCAAACTATTCATGTGGGTGATTAGAAGTACTGGAGGGTTGGGGATAGAATGAAGAAAGATGCTGACACATCTGGAGGTGAAGGCAGAACCAGAGCATCGCAGGGCTTGTAGGCCATATTAAGGATTTTGGTTTTTATCCTAAAAGCAATGGGAAGCAGTTGATGAATTTGGTATAGTAAAGACAAATATCGAGATTTGTATTATGAAAAGACCACTCTTGCTGTTATAGCATGAAAGATGGATTATGAAGAGGGGTGGTGCGATACGGTATTTAAAGAGTGATGTTTCTATAAATGTAAGAGTCACACTATTGTTTATGAGCAAGATGGTAAATTATCTTTTTTTTCCCCTTGGCCTACATTAATTCATATGTAATGCTTTGTCTGAATTTACCTTAATTTTCACCCATATATCATATCCCATATCTGAACCATGAATCTATAAGAACTAAATTTTAATATATTCATAAAACCACATGTTTATAAAATAGCATATTAACAAATTCTAAAGTTTGATTTCCCGTGAAATCATATCTATCTATACAACATAAATAAATTATTATTTGTATAATAATATTAGAAATAATTCTTAAATATTTCTTAAATCACAATTTTTATTTTTCAAAAATTTTCAGTTTTGATTTTCTGTTATCCATAGAATATTCTATATAATGTATAATACTTCTGCAATTAGAAATTCAACATGAACCACTTATTTCTTTTCAAAGCCTTTATTACAAAAGTAAAAGATTTGATTTATTTGCCTTGTTTGTTTTCAATTAAGTTGACTTTCTCATAAAGCTTTAATGTAAACATGGAATGTAAGCTTATTTTCCTAATAGGTTAATAATGTACAATTCAAGATTTTTAGTACTTTATTTTTATTCATATTCATAGCTAGATCAAATTTTACATTATAGTAATTTTACTTTGATAAACATAATATATGAATTTAGATTTCCAGAAAGGTTTTTTTAATTATCATTTTATATTTAATCAATACTTTGTTACTTTGTTTACTTGATGATATTTTAGTGGTCTAAACAGCTATTGCAATTAATGAACCTAACCACAATAAACCCAATCTAACTACGGTAACCCTTCTCTGTTATTTTAGAAATGACAGGTGGATCACAAAATTATAAAATACAAAATTTAATTCTCCAAGATATGTCCAAAGAAAATTCTAGAGTCAGTATAGATGTTCCACATTATCATGTACATTTCTATCTGTAATAACAGTAATAACTGTTATATGTCATGTACGTTTGTATCTGTAATAACAGTAATAATCAGTAATAACATAAAAAGAGAATTGACTTTCATGATTTATTTGTTTAATAACTGATTGAGTCCTGGTCTGTATTATGACCACTAGACACTAGAGATACAGAGATGAAATGACACACTGGCCTCAAGGAGATTTTGGACTAGCTGCCATTTATTGAGCACTTTATTTGTGCCAATTACTGTTAAACACTTTGTGTTTAAGCCTCACATCAACCTTGTAAGGTAGTAGTGTTCCGATTACGGCCATTTTCCAAACTGGGAAACAAACACAGAGGGATTAGGTAACTTGTGCAAGATCACACAGCTCACAAGCAGCAAAACTGGGACTGGAAGGCAGGGTGGTGAGCTCAGAGCCAACGTTCCTAATTGTCACACAGTAATGCTTCCTCACGGGGACCCTGAACATCTGAACAAAGTTGAATCAACAAACTAATTCTAAATTATTCTGTGTTCAAAATAATAAACTCATTGAGCAGAAAAGGAAGCTTGGATTTTTAAGGGCTCTTAAGGAGATTGAGAGATAAGGATTTCCTGGGATAATTATTAGGATACTTAATTATAACAACTTATTGTGCCCTAAAACATTCAAAGTAATGGATTTTTCCTAAATATGTGTGTAATTGTGAATATATGTGAGTGTGTGTGTATGTGAGCGTGAGGCGTGTATAACATAAAATGAGAAATGTTTGGTATAAAGACCTTGGTGTTTAAGAATGATTTGCTATAAAATGAGATGAGAAAGCACACTGAGGAAAAAGGGTCAGTTTGGTACTCACAGGTAAGTCAGCCTCCACCATGGAAGGAAACCAGTTAATTTCAAAGTTAGTGAAACAGATTTATGAAGTGTTTGGGGGTTCATACTCTCCCTCCTATAATAACTATGTCATAGCAAGGAGTGTGTCTTACTCATCTCATCCCCATGACACCTAATATAGTGCTGTTCACATAATAGATTCTAAATTATTTGTTGATTGAATGACTGTTTGTTGAATGAATAAGAAAATGGTGAAAACTATAAAGAAAGAAAGTTAATTTTAGTTTTCTCCATCAGCAGGTAATTTCTAAACCAAGGGTTTTTTTATCTTTAAGTAAATGTTATTGACCTTCACCTCAAAACAATACAAAATAAAACGTTTCTGAGTTATTCTACATTTTAATGAATGACTTTAGAATTTTTATTCTGTCTTCATTTTAGATAATTGTGTAATATATCAGCTAGATAATGCCGACATTTCTCCAATGGCATGCTGTGTGAGTCCACAATAGTTGCCGGCAATTTGGTGACTCATCTTTTAATGCCTGTTGGTGAAGCTGAATGTTGTCTTTTCTTAATTTATGCTTGTATTTCTTTCCCTTGTGAGATCTTCAGGAAAATTAATGAACCCATTTTAGCTGAGCATGAGAACTTTTTTTTTTTTTTTTGAGGATTCAAACTCACTCTTAATTACTTGCTCTTGTTCTAGGCTTAATAGATAATTCTGGACTGAGGTTGTTTCATACAACGGATATAAGGAGATACGATGCCGGGGTGATCGAGGCTGGCCTCTGGGTGAGCCTCTTCCATACTATCCCTCCAGGGATGCCTGAGTTCCGGTCTGAGGGTCACTGCACTCTGGAATGCCTGGAAGAGGTATGCAGAGATTCGATCTGCATGTTCATCAATGCTCTATATTGTGAAACTATATTGCAGAAAATTCCATGCTTGTTTATTATTGATCTTTTCTTGTCAGCACATTGTGAAACCATATTGTAATTTTAGCAGGATCTTCGATTGCCATTTTAATCTTGAAGGCTACAGGAGTAGAATTATGAAGACAAGAGTAATTTGCAGAATGTTTTTCTTCCTACTCCTACCTCCTTTGTTGCACATTGGACACTTTATTTCATCTTTTACAATTCCTACCTTTGTGTGATCTCCTTTTTCTTTCTCTACTTGGTTTTTTATCCATATTTATTTTTTCCATCATTCATTTTCATTTTTTTTTCTCTGCTTTATAGTTTTCTTCCCTTCTTTCACCAAAGAGCAAGAATAACTAATACAAAACTACATATTGGATAAGGGAAAACTATGTATAAATATTAAATAGTGACTGCATTGATAGTTTTCTTAAATGAAAGTATTTCAACATGGATCATATACTCTGAATTATGACAAATTGTGGTACAGAGAGTAAGGCAGACTGGTGAAGTGGAAAGATTATGCTCTTCTGAGTTATTTAGATCATGATTCGTTTCTGTGACATCATTTACTAGCTGTGGGAACACGGGATATTCATTTAATTCCCTTGACACACTTTGGTTTTCTTACCTGGAAAAGTGGGAATACTTTTTCCTTTTTAAAAGTTTAGATTTTCAAGTTACTAACATACTGGAATCTTTTTGCCAGGAACTTTGACTGCCCCTGTACCTCCTAAAAGGAGGAAAAAGAAAGACAGCATTTAGGAATAGTTTGGTAGGTCTTTAGTAAGCGTTAAGTTCCTTTTCTTTTCTCCCAGCAAATGTTGCTTCACAAAGAGAACACTGAAAAAAACCAAATTGTAAATGCCTGGCAGCTCAAGCATTTATTTAAATGGCTTTAGCCTTGCTCCTCAGTAGTCCCTCCAAGTAATGTTTTAACGTGCTCTGTCTGAACACGCGCTCGTTTGGGCTAATCAGGGCTTCCTTGGCCTGCCCCGCAGGCTCTGGGAGCGGAAAAGCCCAGTGGGATCCACGTGTTCGCGGTCCTTCTCCACGCACACCTGGCTGGCAGAGGCATCAGGCTCCGTCATTTTCGCAAAGGGGATGAGATGAAATTACTCGCTTATGATGATGATTTCGACTTCAATTTCCAGGAGTTTCAGTATCTCAAAGAAGAACAAACGATCTTACCAGTAAGCATGTTTTTGTTTTTGTCACTGAATGTTATAAAAATCAGAGACGTGTATCTGCTGAGATGTAGCAAGACAGTCTGCTGGCGAAATGAATTGCTCATCGTATAAATCACCCACCATGGACGTTGCACAACCTAGATGGAATGTGTTTGATCTGTTTTCCAAAATAAAACTCATTTTTCTTACTACTCCCAGGGGTGATTCAAGTTGGGGATTAAAAAAAGAAAAAGGAACCAAAATAACAAAAAACTCAGCTTCTGAACTCTAAATATTACTCTTTTTTTTACTTGACTCCCCAGTTAGCGATCCTTCGGGTGCAATTCTGATAATGGTAAAATCAGAAGTTTCTAAAGGCCACCTCGAAGAGATTGGATATTTTTTAGAAGTTTTATTTCAGGAAAAGTACATGTAAGGATAATTCTTTCATTTGACAAAGACATTTGCATGAACGTAGATAATTTTTCTATGAGGTGTGATCCAGCTTGACACCATACTTGGTGTTATGGTGAAGAGATAGAAGAGAATCTTATGCCTCACAGTAATGAAACCTTTTAAAAAAATTTTTATGATGCTTCGTTTTCTGTAATTTTTTATTCTATGGCCATCAAGCTCAATAGTTTTATTTAAATAATAAGTCTTGGTATTTCATTCCCACTCAATGATTATACATATTACATAGCACATATATGTAACCCAGGGACTAAATACATATATTTTTTATATATATACATACATACCAAATATATATATATATATATATATATATATATATATATATTTAAATATATATATATATATTTAAATGTTTTATTACTTAAAGGGATGAGTATCAGTTTTCTATACAATTTTTTTTTTCCTTTTTGTCTTTTTTCGTGACCGGCAACGGATCGCAACCCTCAGTGTTGCGCCCGTACCGGACCAGGACCGGCAACGGGATCGCAACCCTCGGTGTTGCTCCCACACCTCGCTCAGCCAGTGAGCGGCCGGTCTGTATGTGGGATCTGAACCCTTGGCGGGAGCGCCGCTGCGCTTCCCAAGCGGCGCAATGTAGCAGTGCGCCACCGGGCCGGCCCCCCCTTATTCCACTCTTAAAAGTCAGATTCTTATATTATTTATGAAATGAGAGTAACAGCAATATCTTTCCTACATGATGCTGGGGACAGAGTTAGATGATGCTGGGGACAGAGTTAGATGGGATGAACTAGCCCAATATGATGGGAAAGGTGAAAATGCACAAGAAAGTAAAAAAAAAAAAAAAAGGCAGAAGAAAGTAATGAAGAGGAGTCTTTATTCTAATGACTGTCCCTTATATCCACAGCTTTGGATCTGTACTCTTTTTAGCAATTGTTTAACATACCCTGAGAGTAGAAAGATGGAGTTTGAGGCACAGCACTCTTGTCAAGATTCTTAAGCACTACAGTCTTTTTTATCATGTTCTCTCAGGGCTTTCCAACCAATCTTACTGGTTATCTCAGCACTTCCTAACTGGTGTGCCCTGAATAGGCTATAAATGTGCTGAGAGACTGATCTCTGGGCCCTCTGAGCCGGGGGCAGGGAAGACAGATCCATGAGTAGCTTCATTCATGTACCTAAGTGGGAAGCTGTGAAAACATTATGTTTTCCACGTGTGCTGTAATGTTCAAAAGCTTGGAAAACTCTAGAACAATAAAATACTATTAATTTGCCTCACAATTCTGTTGTAAGGAAATAAAAGACATGACTGATGAGCTTTAAATATAGTCATGTAAATGAAGAGATAATCACAATAATTAGTACCTATGGCTAACGTTTATTGTTTTATCTCTACTAAGGACTAAATAAGTCTTATGTCATTTAATCTCCTCACAACAGCTGTGCAAAGGAAGTGCTATTTTAATCATCATTTTTCAGATGGACAAATTGAGCCCAGGCTGTCCAGTCCCCTTTCCCAGGTCATCTATCTAGAATATTGTGGAGTCTGGCCTGAACACAGAGAACCTTATTTGTTTGTTTGCTTGCTTATTATACTAGCAAACCTAGAATTAAACAGGTCAAAGGTCTTCTCCTGAATCAAATTACTTGATGTATCCATTCATACAGAAAATATTAGCTGTTGGCCTACAAATGTATTCGATGAATAAAACAGCATGAAACTTTAATCTGAAAGCTTTTTTTTTTTTTATGTTTTAGGGAGATAACCTAATTACCGAGTGTCGCTACAACACAAAAGATAGAGCCGGGATGACTTGGGTAAGAAAATTTTTACTATTTTTAAAGTTCATTTATGAAAAGGAAGGAATAAACTTTGATTTTAGAAGAAGAAAAGTAAAAACCATTTCCATTTGGAAACGAAATTTTTGAGAGTCTTGAGCATGAAACATTGTAAAAGGGCAATCAGAGCTGTTTTAGCATTTTATCAGACTTCAGATTAACTAATGATACGATATTTGCAGTGTAATTTATTGACACTTTTGTGAAAATCTATCCTAAGTCTTTTAGTTTTCCTCACCAAATATTATTTATGAAAAGACCTGAGGTCATTAACTGACTGTCCACTTGAGTCTGGATGTAGATAAATCCAGACTTCAAAAGGAAGAATGAAGTACATGATCTAGGGACCTCTGACCAAAAGGAAATCCAGTCCCAGCAGATTTGTTGGGGAGTTCTGCCAAGCATTCAAGAAATAGATAATTTATGCCTTACTCAATCTCTTCCATGGAACACAAAAAGAGAAAACACCTCCTACAAACTCATTTTATGAAGCTGACCTAATCTTAATACCAAAACTTTCTATGGACAATATCAAAGAAGCCAGTAACATGCACCTGATGGAAATATATTTGACAAAGTATTGACAAACCAAATCCTGCATTATTTACAAATCTAATGTTAGAACCAATTTCTGTTTATTGAAGGATTGAAAAATTGATTAAATTAGAAAATATATTAATGTCTTCTACATTACGAGATTAAAGGAAAAAGACTTATAATAACCTCAGTAGGGGCAGAAAAAGTATTTATAAGTTTAAGTCCATCCTGGAATCCGGGGTATCAGTGTAGATATTTAGCAAACCAGAAATAGGAGAGAATTGCCTTAACTGTGTAAAAGTTAGCTATGAAAAATCTATAGCAAATGTTAAACTAAATGAGATACCAGAAGAATTTCTTTAAAATCAGAAAGAATATACCAGAAAAGAAAAAAAAAATGAGAATTAAGGATCAGAAAAGAAGTGAATGAGCAAAACACATAATTCACATATACTGATTTTTCCACATCTAAACCCTCCCCCAAATTGATAACATCTAAAATTAATTGCATTTTAGTGTATAAGAAACTATATGAAGAAAATGCAGTTTAAAATTATAAGTTATATAGAAATAAAATCTAACATTAGATGTGTTTGATCTCTATGGAAAAAATTATAAATCTTTATTGTGAGACATTAAAGAACACCTAAAGAAATTAAGAAATACTATGTGTTCATATATAGAAAGGCTCAGTAAAATAAGGAAAATCCTTCTGTTCAAATTGGTTTATAAATTTAATATAATTCCTGTAAAAAGAAATCATTGAGATTTTGTAATTTGGGGTTTTGGTATCCTAACAAAGAAATCTTCACCTACTCATGGCTGCAAAGATTTTCTCCTACTTTTCATTTTTGTAAAATTTTTTACAGTTTTAGCTTTTGCATGTAGCAAGTTGATTCTGAAATCTACACAGAAGAGCAAAAGGTTAAAAATAGGCAAGACATGACAAAAAAAGAACAAGATGGGAAATAAGCTACTAGATAATGAAGGCTTATTTTAAAGCTGTGGTGATTAATATAGCGTGGTTTGAGTCCAAAGTTTAAACAGTAGAACAGAAGAAAGGTCCCAGAAACAAACTTACAAATCCTATATATGGAAACTTGGGTTTGTGATAGACATAGCATTCATATAAGTGGGAAAGGATGAGCTTTTCATTAAAGGATGCTGGCACAATTGGTTAGCCATATGATTAAAATAAAATGAGTCTTGCATAACACACAAAAGTTAATTCCAGACATATTAAATATTTAATGTGAAGCACAAAATCTTAAAATCAGTGGAAGAAAAATATTTGAATATATCTTCATGATCTTGAAGTAGCTAAGAATTTCTTAAACAAAACAAAAAAAAATACAGACTATATAAAAAAGATAAATAAATACCTTAAAGCTTTTGATTACCAAAAGACACTATTAAGAAAGTAAAAAGACGTATTTTAAACTGAAAAAAAAATTTGCAATACATATATTAACAAAGCATTAGTATCCAGCATATCAAAGAAATTCCATAAACCAGTAGCAGAAGACAAACATACAATAGTGAAAGAGCACAAGACAAAAACATTTCACAGAAATAAAAACCCAAATAGATAATGAACATATGAAAAGATGCTCAATTTCATTTGAAAACAGAGTAAAGCAAATATAAACTAGAGTGAGAAATGTTATATCCACCAGGTTGGCAATATTTAAAATTGTTACTCTAGTGTGCTAAAACTAGATCACTCCTATACTGTAGTAAAGCCACTTTGGGGGAAAATATGACATTATCTAGTAAAGTTGAAGATTCATATATGCTAAGTTCCATTCCTATGTAGATTTAATCTTGGTGTTACTTTTGCAGGATATATTAGAGAAAGGAGATGTGTAAAATATTCATAGTAACATGTAATAACACAGGAAGAAAAAACTGGGAACAAAAATACTCATCAAAGGGAGAACAAATAAGTACGTTATAATATATAATATATAATGAAATAGTATATAGTTACGAAAATTAATGAACTAAAGCTACATATATTAACATGAATGTATCTGTGAAACATAATGTTGATTGAAAAGAGCAAGTTTGCAGCAGAATATAGTAGTATTATATGTATTTTAAAGTTCAAGAATATACAAAATTAAATGATATGTTGTTTAGAGATACACACTTCAATATACTGAATGTAAAGTGTAATGAAAAGCAATAGAAAGCTAACTAAAATATTAAGATAATGATCACCTTTGGCTGGAGTGGGAACAAGAGGAATTAAAGCTGGGCACACAGGGGTAGTCCAGGCACTGGTGTTGGTTTTATTTTTTCTCATGCCATATATATTATTTTTGTTTGTATGAAATATTTTACTAATGACATAATAAATGAGTTATTATTGTAGTTGGTATTTTGTTGCACTGCCTTGATGCCCCCTTTAGGGCCAACACAGATAAACTCCAGCCAGTGGGAATATGACATGGTAAGATCATAGCTTGCAGCTGTGTCCCTCGTTGGAAATTGCCCTTAGTATCAGACCATGACTCACTTAAAGTTACACTCCCTCAGTGCGGCAGCCAGCAGCCAATGACTGGTTGATGTGAGGATACAAAGGCCCAGCTCTCTTCCTACAATTTGGTACAACTATTAATGGCCATCGCAGCTCAAGGTTAGATTAAATATGATATTTACTGAGCCATTAGTTGCAACCTCATTTATAAATCAACTTCTCCCTTTGGCCAATCTTGCCTTACTCATCAAGTGCAAAACATCATGTTTTGCAATTAGTAAAATCATTGCATATTACACGGTGCATTAATTTATAACCATGAATAATATTACTAAGTTTTTACCTTTAATTTTGAAGGATAGACTTGCCAGATAAAGAACTCTCGATTGTTTCTTTTTCCCAGCAGCAACTGAATATATAATTCTAATCCCTTTTTGTTGCATCCATCATTTATGATGAAATGTCAGCTGTCAGTTGTATCATTTTTTGCCTGTGTGATGTGTCGCTTTTCTCTTGCTGCTTACAATATTTTCTCTACGTCTTTGGTTTTCAGCAGTTTTACTATGATGTGTCTAGGTATGAAACTTTTATATTTGTCTTTGGCAGTTGTTGAGCTTCTTGGGACTGTAAGTTAATGTTTTTCACTAAATTTAGAATGATTTCAGATATTATTTCTTCAAATATTCTTTCTTCCTTTTTCTCTCTTCCCTCTCATTCTAAAACTCCAATTACATATATGTTGGAATATTTAATATTGTTTCAGAGATCTCTGACATGTTTTCACTTTTCTTTAGTCTTTTTTTTTCTCTGTTCTTTGGGTGGGATCATTTCTGTTGATTAATCTTCAAGTTCACCGATTCTTTCCTTGGTCATCTCAAATCTGCTGTCGAGCTCATCCCATGAATTTTTTTATTCGGTTTTGGTGTCTCTCAACTATAGAATATTTATTTGTTTTTCTAAAATGCTTTTCATTCTCTGGTGTCACTCCTTGTTTGTTCACTCATTTTTAATATACATGTCTTTAATTACCTAACCATGTTTTTCTTTAACTCTTTGAACATATTTATATCTGCTGTTAAGTCTTTGTCTGCTAAATCCAGAATCTGTATCTTGTCACAATTCATTTCAACTGACTTTATTTCCCCCTCAAGTAGATCATAGTTCCTGGGGTTTTTTTATGTCTTAATAATTTTTGTTTGAAAATTTGACATAGTAGATAACATGTTGTAGCAATTCTGGATTCAGTTCTTCTGAGGGTCTTTGACCTTTTTTTTAAATTTTAGTAGATAATTAATTATCTAGATTCAAAATGTGAACTCTGTCTCCCTTGTGGTATGCAGCTGCTGGTCTTTATACACATGATGACAAGATTATAGAAAATTTAGTTTAAACACCAAAGGTCAAGTGTTCAGATCCCCATACCAGCCAGACGCCAAAAAACAAAACAAAATAGAAAATTCAGTTCGATCAGGCAAGAATTCTGTCAAACTTGTTGATTGGTATCATGTTAACCAAACATCCTCACGATCCTTTGAAATGTACACTGTGATGAGATGTTTACATCATATCAGCAGAACTTTAAGGATGATTAGGTTATTTGAGAAAGGCAAGTTTTAAAGAGATAGAAATAATTTATTAATTTTTAAATGTGTCACTATCTTTTTAAAAGCCAAATTATCATTAAATTAGTACTTTTAGCTTTAATATTTATTAAACTTCAGTATTAGAAGGAACTATATGACATAGGTATTATAGGTGTGTTATATATGTTATTCACTGGAGTGCTTGAGTGTTCTGTCAGAGTAGGTCGAACACATACTTTGTTAAATAAAATACTTTGTTAAATAAAATATCTTCATTTTCAGGGAGGACTAAGCACCAGGAGTGAAATGTGTCTCTCATACCTTCTTTATTACCCAAGAATTAATCTTACTCGATGTGCAAGTATTCCAGACATTATGGAGCAACTTCAATTTATTGGTGTTAAGGAGATCTACAGACCAGTCACGTAAGTAGTAGGTGTTTATCATTGTAGACAATGGGCTTTATTTTCATATTGGATTCATTCCCATGTTATGATATTCTTTTATGTGCTCTTGTGTTTGATCACTTTCAACTGGGGAAACCAGATAAGCTTCTTGATTGCTATGTCTTGGGTCTCCAAGGTTCAGTGATTTGCTAGGAGGACTAAAGGACTCAGCATGTAGCTGTACTCATGGATGTATGTATTGCAGTGAAAGGATACAATGCAGAAAGAACAAAAGGAAAAGGCACATGGGCAAAGTCCAGAGGAAACCTGGTGCAAGCTTCCAAGAGGCCTCTCTCAGTAGAGTCACACAGAATGCACTCCATTCCGCCAGCCTCGAATTATGACAACATGTATGAAGTGTTGTGTACTAGAGAAGCTCATTAGGGACTCAGTGTTCAGGTGGTCACATGGGTGCTTCTCTGCCCTGCAACTACCAAAATTCCAGACTCCTAGAAGGAAAGAAGATGCTCAGCATAAACCACATTGTTTGAACAGTCAGTCTAGGTACAATGAGTCATTTAGAGAAAGTCTTATATCAATACAGTATAGGAAATTGTGTACTATTAAAGTTCTTTGATGCCAGCCAAGGGTCAACCTTGCAAGCAGGCCTTTCTGAGGATAGCAGTCTCAGGGCTGCTGTGTTAACTCTTTCTGCACAATTGCATATCATAGAAACAAGACAAAATAATAAACTTGATAAGATGAAATAATAGATAAGATAAATATTATTCCTGCCCTCTTGAGACTATATTCTAGTGTGGGGAAGAAGTAAAAAACAAGAAAACAAATATAAAATCTTAAATAGTAGTAGATGTTATGAAGACAATTGAAATGGTAAAGGAGGTGTGTGGTTGTTATCAGCAGGGTGGTGAGGGGCTCTCTGGAGAGGTGATATTTGAGCAGAGATCTGCATGATGAGAAGCCAGCTGCTTCAGACTCCCTTAACTCTGATTTTTGTCTCTTTTTGTCATTTCCTGCTTGGAAATCCCACTGCCTGCCTCAGAGTCCAGAAAATGCATCCAGGCAGAAAGCTGGGATTAACAAGGTGTTCAAAACCCTCGTTTGTTTCCTTTCTTTGGAGCAATCATAGCTCTGTGCTGTTTTCCTGTTTAAAATCAGCTACTTCATGTGGATTGTTCAGTTTTGAATTTTTTACAGAAGAGAGTAAAACTGGTGTAAGTTATTCCAACGTGGACAGAAATGGAAACCTGCTAATGAATTTTTGTTTCTTTTACTAGTTTTTGATTACTTCTTCATTTGCTTGATAGAGGGAGAATCTGTGATGTAATTCATTCAGCTGTATGTATGGAGACACTGTTTCTTGGTTAAACCTTCCATCTCTTCCTTCCTCCTCTCCTCCTATTCCCAAGAAAGACACTACCGATAAAACTTCTAAAGCATGGGCCGGCCCGGTGGCGCACTGCTACAGTGCGCCGCTTGAGAGTGTGGCGGTGCTCCCGCCGAGGGTTCGGATCCCACATACAGACCGGCCACTCACTGGCTGAGCAAGGTGTGGGGGCAACACTGAGGGTTGCGACCCCGTTGCCGGTCATGAAAAAAGACAAAAAGGAAAAAAAAAAACTTCTAAAGCAGGAGTGAACTTTCAAGGGAGGTTCAGATAGAAAATGTAACCACAGATAATCTTCTTCCATCTGCTTTTCAATTTATACAGAGCAGGGAGCCAGGTATAAAAATCATTAAACTTTTAAACTTTTCATTGATAAGTCTGAATTTACAAATATGAATTGATTTATTTTTGGTGGAATATGAAAACTTACTCTACCATTGTGTTTTGCAGTAAACTTTGCTACGTTCTTAAAAAATAGCTCAGAGTTTAGATTGAGTTTATCAAGAAAAATTACCCGTCAATATTAAATTACAATATTAACAATTTGTTTTTATCAAGTACAGTGCTATATAAATATTACCTTTTTATTTCTATGTTTATATCGGAAGGCATTTAAACACATCCCAGATGTGCAGAAATGTAACTGTTTCCATTTCTATAACATTTCTAATATTTCTAACTCACCCCTAGTCCCAGTAATAACAGTAGTGCTTGCTACTTTAAGTTTACCTGTTTCTGGTTTAAAGGTTAGTCTTTTTGAGAAAAATACTCAGGATAAACATTCACTTTTTCAAGATTCTCCTCTTTCTTTCTTCTCTGTTTCTCCAGGGGGTAATCTGCAAGCATGGCATAGGATAGGCTAGAAAGGTTAGAGATGACAAGTAGGAAGTTTATTGGCAAAATGTTATTATAAACTAGGGGCCTGAACAGAGGTAGTAGGAGTGGAAAGGAGAATAAATATGAGACAAAGATGCCATCTCAGTGAGGTTGGTGACCACGTCGGCAGGTCACCCAGCCTGTCTCCAACATATGAGCCATTAGGTTTGCCCTTTTCTACATATCTATACTAAATGTTAACAAATGTGACTACACCTCTTCAGCCAGTTTATGCTGTGCAATCTCAATAAATACTAGTTTACTGAATTATAGCAGCAAAACTTTTTAAGATTTCATCTATGTATAATGATTACACAATTCACTCTTACCAGCAAGGCTGTGAGGCTTTTAGTCCACCTAAGCAGCTTAGAAGAGATTCGAGTGCCACCTTGTGGTGTGTTAGGTGATTACAAACTGGTGATTTCCCCCCAGAGTTGATTTTCTCTTTTTCAAATTAGGCACCTTATCTATTTGAAAAGTAAATTTTATTTTTAAAAATTGATTTTAAAATGGTTTCTATTGAATAAAACCTAGCTGTAGCTTTTAGTGCATTTAAAAAGACATTGTATGTGAATATAACAGGCCCCTTTCAAGTCAAGTTTTTGTTTTATACTAATTCTGGATTGTGTCTCTATTCAAGTCATCACAAATGTTTAATTTTAAAATGCTACAGATCTTAGGTCATTGCTAGACATGCTTAATGTAATAATGCTTTTTTTCTTTTTACTCTATTTTTAGAATTTTTAAAAATTTATTATTATTTTTTAATATTATAAGATGCTGTGGAGCACTTAGGGGGAAGGGGAAGGGGAGGGAAAAGCAGGTGGGGAGGAGCTGGCCCACAGCTGCTTCCTTCACTGGCTTGGTTGCAGAGGGCAGGGTTGTGTGGCTGAGGCCCTCGAGCCCCCTCCCAACCCTGTCTCCAGAGCATGGGGGGCTTATGGTCCTGCTTGGTTTTATAGGTGTTCTTTGGTGGTGTTAGACCTTTCCTGGTTAATAGCAGAACTTTCTCTCTGATCTGTGGGTATTTTGTTTTTTCTTTCAGTTCTGTACTGGATTTTAGCTACCCCCACCACTTAAACTCTGCACTGTAACTAATTTGTTGTCCTTTGCTTACTTCTAAAATGGGGGAACTTCCTGTGGGGACCAGTACTTGAGCTCTGTGGTTGAGCAAAATTGCTGCTTTGCTGCTGATTCCCTGGGGGAGGCTTTTTGTGCAGCTCAAGTATTAATGGTTGACTTTGTAGTACTTCTGGGTCTCATGAGATACAGCACACCTGGGTTATGTAGAAACTCTGGTCTGGGCCTGAGTCTTTCCAACAAATTGCACCCCCTGCAGTTCTGTATTCCTGACCAGTCTCCACTGAGTGGTCCTGTGCTGATTGGGGGGCAGATCAGCTGTCTTTGATGTCCTTGTCCTGGTGGGCCCATCTCCTTCACCGCCCATGCTGCAAACACTTCCCATGGGACGGGCCACGCACCTGTCCCTTACGATGACTCACCAGCCTCTGCATGGCTCCTTTTTCTGTTGTTGTGGCTTCTCACTCCTATGTAGGTTCACGGGAACCCTATTAGTGGTCTTGCTGGCCTGGGGGCCATCAAGACCCTCTTCTGCCCTGTTGCCTCCAAGCAACTCCATCCGAAGAGCACAGCTGCAGCTTTTGCTGACTCCTGCTCTATGTGCTCAGCAGCTCCAGCCTTGAAGCATTCAGGGCTCAAAACAGTCAGAGTAGTTCTTTCTTTCTCTCATCATGGTTTCTCCCGCCTTCATGAACTCTGTAGGTCTCTCCTCCTCTTCCCCTGAGCTCTAGCAGCCCCAGCTTGGCTGTCATTGTTCTTTAATAGTTGTATATTGGTCAATTGTGGGAGAGGGTGATATTGGGGACTGTCTATTCTGCTGTCTTGATTTGAAGCCTGTAGTAATGTTTAATGATGCTGATTTCTCTTGCTTTTTAGTACCTATTTCAAACTCAACAAAGATATATTGATTTAATTAAAGGAAAAAGGAAGTTGAGACTAAAAATGTAAAGATCTTCATATATTATACATTTTTTCTCATTGTTTCACTTATTATACATGGAGGAAATAATTTAAATTTAGACATTAAAAATTTATCTTCATAACTATACAAAATTAATACTATTTCATTTGCTTAAAAAATAATATTCAGGGTGCCTAAGTAAGTTATGTGTGTATGTGTGTGTGTGTGAGAGAGAGAGAGTAATGACGTAAATAAAGACACATGAAGATAAAATATTTAAAATATAGATTCCTCAGCAGGAGGTTAATTATTTGGTAATTACTGGAAGTCACTGGGACATCTTCTTGGGGTATCATGGAAGCCAAATACTTACTAGTCACCCATGATCATCTCCTGTAAGGTCCATAGATTAGTTAATGTAAATTTTTGTGATGTGCCAACACTTTCCTTTTTTCAGGAATCAATAATATAAAACTTGTATTTAATGAAAGATATCACCTGAATAGTATCTTTTTAAACCGGTTGTATCATTCTTCTGTGATTCTTCTGTGATTTCTTTTTTCTTTCTTGGACATTTAACATATTTTTTTATTGAAACATAATTGATTATACATATTTGTGAGGTATAAAACTGAATGTCAATACCTGTGTACAACGTGATAGTGGAGTCAGGATAATTAGCGTACTTGTCACTACAAAATGTAGTCATTTCTTTTGTTGAGGATGTTCGATCTCCTCTCTTCTAGTCATTTGATAGCATATATAGTAAGTTACTATTAGTTACAGGTGCCTAGCTTAACTGTCTATCAGCAGAATCTAGTTTCTGTTTTTCCTAATTAGCTGTTTTGTGTCCATTAACCCATTTCTTGCTGCCCCCCTTTCCGCTTCCCCTTTCCTGACTCTAGCAACCACAGTTCTGTTTTTGCCTTTTGAAAGTGTGATGTATTATGATTCTTCCTTCCTTCCTTCCTTCCTTCCTTCCTTCCTTCCTTCCTTCCTTCCTTCCTTCCTTCCTTCCTTCCTTCCTTCCTTCCTTCCTTCCTT